GGTGTGGTTGGTGCCTAATTCGTAGTCTGAGAGAGAGTCCCCTCTGTGTGGGGGTCTCCTTCAGGCATAGTGGCACACACCTTTAATCCCAGCACTGGGGATGGGGTGGGGGGAATAGAGGCAGGCAGATCTCTGAGAGTTTGATGCCAGGCTGATTTACATACTGAGTTCCAAATTCTGAACCCCAAAATCACCAAGAGGCCTGTTTCAATGCAAAAGCAAAAGGCCGGGCGTTGGTGGTACACGTCTTTAATCCCAGCACTCGGGAGGCAGAGGCAGGTGGATCTCTGCGAGTTCGAGACCAGCCTGGACTACCAAGCGAGTTCCAGGACAGCCTCCAAAGCCACAGAGAAACCCTGTCTCGAAAAACCAAAAAAAAAAAAAAAAAAGCAAAGAGACTTTTATTGCTGTTGCTTGATGAGCTAACTCCATTAGCTCGGGCCTTTCATCCATTCACTGCAGCGCATGGCTGGAGAAAGACCCCAGAAACCATGAGGCAGGGATCTTATAGGGCAGCGTAAGGGGAGTGTCTAGGGGTCACAACAGTCTTAGGATTGGTGCGCTCCCGGACTTGGACGACCTGCCCTGTGTTGATTGGTCAACTGGTTGTTATGGCCCATAGGCCCTCCCAGGGTGGTTTCTGTGCTCTGCAAGTCACTGTTGTGCACTTGTACATAAAGCACACCCAGAGCCGTAAAGCACAGCTAATTTCTGATTGGTTCCTTGCCCTCCTAGTGACAAGGGCTGGCCCAGCAAGGCCAGAAATGTGCTGCAGAGGCCTACATGTCTTTTCTGCAGCCTGTCATGAATGCTAAAGCAGGGGCCTGGTCCCTTCACCAAGTCAGCCAGAGAGAGACAGATCTGTTTTGAAAACAACAATAGGAAGAAACCCTACTGTTTGGTTTGGTATGTGTAGCCCAGAGGTCTATGTTAGATACTGATTGGTTACTTTTCTGTTGCTGTGACAAAACACCACAGCCAAAGCAACTGACAGGTTTATTTGGGCTTATGGTTCCATAGGACTAAGAGTCCATCATAGCAGGGGGTGGGGGGCATGGCAGCCGGCAGGCGTTGCAGTCAGAACAGGAAACCGAGATCACATCCTAAACTACAAGCATGAAGCAAAGAGAGCAAATGAGAAGGCAAGGTTATATCCTCTCAAAGCCCACCCCAAGTGACATACTTCTTCCAGCTAAGCCTCCTCAAACACCTCCACCACTGGGGACCAAGTATATTTAAATGTCTGAGCCCATGAGGTGATGTCTCATTCAAATCACCACAGATGTCTCTTTTTTTAAGTATTTATTTATTTCAGCCGGGCGGCGATGGCGCACGCCTTTAATCCCAGCACTCGGGAGGCAGAGGCAGGCGGGTCTCTGTGAGTTCGAGGCTAGGCTGGACCGACAGCCTCCAAAACAATACAGAGAAACCCTGTCTCATAAAAACCAAAAAAAAAAAAAAGGATTTATTTATTTCATGTGCATTGGTGTTGTGGCTGCATGTATGTCTGTGTGAGGGTGTCAGATCTCCTGGAACTGGAGTTACAGACAGCTCTGAGCTGCCATGTGGGTGCTGGGAATTGAACCCAGGTCCTTTGAAAGACTGTAACAACTGAGCCAGCTCTCCAGTCCCCACCATGGATGTCTTGATTTCTCTCCACGTTGTATTTGTCACAACTGCTTTTCTTCTTTTTTAAAAAAACGTGCGTGAGCATTCATGGGCATCTCTGTGTGTGGGGACAACTTTTGGGAATCCTTGTCTTCTTTCTACCACGTGAGTTCTGGGAATTGAACTCAGGCTGTCAGGACTGCTATTTTAGTCTCATTTACCCAGGAGGTTTTGCCTGGGCAAGACTAGCTGTGCACTGAGTCCAGGGATCCTCTTGTCTCCGACCCCCCAGTTAATATGATTCCCCAGCACTGGATTTTATGTGAGTTCTGGAAACAGAGCTGAGGTCTTCACACTTGGGTGGCAGGCACCTAAGCTATCTCCCCAGACGAACTCTCTTAAGATCTTCCTTGCCAGCCGCTTTGGTTTTTCCCTGCCAGTAGCCTGGGCTCTGCCGCGTTGTAGTCCCCAAATAACACACAAGATGCTGTTTTAATTATGAAGCTGTTGGCCTTGCTTGTTTCTTACTGGCTAGCTCTGACTTAAGTATTTACCCCATAATTGTTAATCTAAGTATTTCTCTTACCGGAGAATAGTTCCGAACTTCTTACCCCTATCGCAGTTACATCTTGACTCTCTGTGTTTCTCCTACCCAGAGTCCTCTTCGACTCCTAGTCCCACCTATCTTGTTTCCCTATTGGCCACAGTGCTTTATTGACATATACACAGGACTTCCCCATCACTTCCCTGTGTGGACTCAGTGGTCAAAGACAGAGATTTTGGGCTCAAATGAGGCTGGGTTCTTGTCACAAATAAGCTTGATGAGAAGGCCCAGTCATTGACAAGGGCAGCTCCTTCTACCAGATTACCAGCTCCTGGGGGTTCTGCAGGATGGCTGGGGTCCCTGTGGCTCTCTGCCCTCGCTTCTAGGAAACCAGTGGGGAGGACCAATGCTCAGCAGTGATGATCTCTGCCTGTATTCAGGTTTAACAGGGTTAAGTCCTTGATGCAGGAGGGTGGCTTGTGAATCTTTTGAGGGGCTAGTGGTTCATATTAGTCAATAGTATCAGTGGTGGGACTGGGAGGTGGCTCAGTGGGTGTTTACCATGTGAGCGTAAGGGCCTGAGTTCAGAACCCAAGTCAAGACTGGACACTTAGTGTCTGTAATCCCAGCACTTTTAGAACATGGCAGTTGGAAGCAGGAGAGTCCCCCAAAGCTTGCAGACTAGCTTGCCTTATGAAAGGCAGAGAAAATCAGCAGAAAGACCCTGTGTTAAACAAGTTGGAAAGTGAGGACTAACACCCGATTGTCCCCTGACCTTCACATATGCATGGTGGCATTCCTGAACCTTCATTCACACATATACAGTATCAATAGCATGCTGAGAACCAGAGTGTGTGGGCTCTATAGCCCATTCAGGAGAGGCACAGAAGTAGTGTTTGGGTCTGAAGACATTTATGGGACAAGGATGTATTAGATAACAATCCTGCATAAGGGTTATGCTTGGGGGACATGGCAGTTGGGGTGCATGTTGTAGTGGAATGCCATTTCAGTAGACATAGGTGCAAGTGTTTAGGGGCAGAGGGGGCTGATATTTCAGAATGTGAGTGTGCACGTGTGTCTTTAGAAGATGGAAAATGGAATACCGAGCAAACAGTGTGATAAAATACTGCCTCCTTGAACGCTTCAGGTTTGCTTTGGCTTTGATATAATTGGGATATCTTCTAAGGCTCCATGTATTAATCCACAGTGGGAAATAGGAAGAGGGTGGGGACTCCCTCTGACTGTGGCTACAGACATTTGGGAAGCGATTAGGATTAGAGATCATGGGGGCAGAGTCCCATGCATAAGTCCTACCACTTTATTAGAGGACACATACATGTGCCTCTTTCATGTTGTGTATGCATCTGTGTGAGTGTGTGTGTGTGCACGCTCTTGGGGATCCCAGGTGATACCAGATGTCATTCCTCAGGGGCCATCCTTCTTGTTGTGAGCCAGGCTCTCTCAGTGGACTGGAACTCACCAAGTAGGCTAGGCTGGCTCTGTGTCTGTCTCCTCAGCAGTGGGATGTCAAACTGCCCCACGTCTGGCTTTTGTTTGAATGCAGGTTCTGCAGATTAAATTCAGATCCTTCCAAATGCAAGGCAAGCACTTTAGCAACTGAACCACTTTCCCAGGCTTTTCATGTTGTTCCAGCTGGGGATTCACCGTGCACCTCAGGCTGACTTAGAACCTGTGATCTTGCGGGTACGTCCTGAGGGGTGGGATACCAGCAAGGAAATGGGACTGCCTCATGCTTGGCTCACCTGTCTCCCTTCGTCATTTGGTGTAACCTGTCTCAGGCAGAAAGGGCTCTGCCAGCAAGGTTACCACAAGCTGCCCCTCTATTTTGGATCAAAACTGGGAGCCAAATGTGAAAACTGGCAACAAATAAGGAACAAACATAGAGCTGATGGTGTCTTAGAACTGTGCGCGCTCTCTCTCGCTCAACATGAAATCTTTTTTTTTTTTTTTTTTGGTTTTGGTTTTTCGAGACAGGGTTTCTCTGTGGCTTTGGAGCAGGGTTTCTCTGTGGCTTTGGAGGCTGTCCTGGAACTAGCTCTGTAGACCTGGCTGGTCTCGAACTCACAGAGATCCGCCTGCCTCTGTCTCCCAAGTGCTGAGATTAAAGGCATGTGCCACCACCGACTGGCTTATTTTTTTTTTCACATTGGTGGTCTGCACGTGTGTGTGTGTGTGTGTGTGTGTGCGCGTGCGTGCGTGTGTGTGAGTGTCAGATCCCCTGGAACAGGCAGCTGTGAGTTGCTATGTGGTGCTGGAATTGAACCGGGTCCTTTGGAAGAAACACCAGTGCTCTCCCGGCCCTGAGCCATCATCTCTCCACTCCCCGGAATCTTTTCTATTAACTTGTAGTTTCTTATAAGAGTAAGCTTAGTTTTATTGAGACAGGGTTTTAATCAACTGACTTTGAGACTTGCTGTCACTAAGGATGACCTTGAAGTGATTCTCCTGCCTCCACCTCCTGAGTGCTGGGAATCAAACCTAGGCTTCCTGCACGCTAGACAAATACTCTGCCAACTGAGTCACACCCTTAGCGCCATCTTTCCCTTTGCCGTTTGAGAAACTTCCAAGTCAAAGCTGAGCAGAGGAAGTGGTGACAGATGGCACTGGCACTGCTGTTGGTGACAGCCTCCGTCACCTGGTGTCAGCTGCCCACATGCTGTAATAATGACGAATGTGTCTACCCGTTGTGCTTGGAGTGCTTTTACTTACCCAGCACCTCACTTTGTGCAGGCCACCGACACCAATGCAGCGCCCCCACCCCCCCACGCCTATGATGCGGGCAGTGGCCATGCCTGGGAGGGATTAGCACAGACCACAGCACACGGTGTGACCTTTTCAGGGTTTATTTCATTGCTAGTGTTCATTCTCCACCTAGACACAGACAATTAGAAGACAGCCAGTTGCTTTCCCATCATCAATTCATTGCTCTGTACGAATGACCGAAGACTCCTTCTCCACACTTTTTATTTTTTAATAAGAAGCTATAAATAAATAAAGCTTTAAAGCTCCCGGGTTCAAGAGGAACAGTTCCAGTTCAGACGCGTTGCCTGGACAGTCCCGGGGTCCCCGCTCCCCGCTCCAGGAGGGGGTGTCGGCAGGGCAGCAGGGTGCTGCACTTGCACGGCCTGGGTAGGCAGGGTCCTTGGAGCTGTAGGGACGGGGAAGCACCCTGTTCTGAGATGCTGTGAGTACCAGGAAGCTGTGCCCCAAAGCTGGTGGCCTGAGCCTTAGGCAGGGGTGGACAGTCGAGGGACTGAGGATTCCTCAGCCTGGCGCTGGCCTGAGATGGGAGGGACTAGTTTTCAAATGCAGCAGAGGCAGAGAAGTGACCCGTGCTTCCGTGAGGGCCAGGATGGCGGGGTGGAAGTTAAAACTTATTCCAATTTGTATAGAACAGGAAGTCGTGAAGAGGGGCCCTGTGGAGCTGGGGTACTTCCTGACAGAAGCTGGCAGAGACCAACATGACCTGTGAGACCGGGCTCCCCACATGTACCCCATGCTCTTCTCGAAAGTATATTCATTCTGAACTGAGCATCTAACCCAACTGGTCCCTCCCACAGTGACCTTGACCTCCTAACTCATCTTGTTACCACCTCCAAAGTGTGGTCACTCACCATGAAGGTGGCCCTGGACCAGGCTGGACAGTACCCGCCGGAACTCAGCTTGCCTGTGAACCCCAAGGTCAAGTTCTGGTGCCTGAGTGTAGGCCCTACACCACACACGTGAAGAGTAAATCATTTCTCTGGGGTAGCAGGCATGCCTGCCAACATCTGGAATATTGCTATGCTACATATGGCCCCCACTCTTGTCTGTGGTGACCTACCCCGTCTTAGCCTGAGTGCCGAGTGAGACAGACAGGGAGGAGGCTCCGTGCTCTGCCTCAGGGTCAGCTCACAAGCTGTCTGCATACATGAAAAGTCACGACACCTCCACTGAGTGGTGGGCCCTAGAGGGCCTCCTAGGGAGCACATGGGGTAGGGCACATGCGCAGCATGGCTTCTAGTAGGGTCACTGGCTGGCCCATGGGGCTGCTGGAAATAGCCTGGTTGGACGATGCAGGGAGAGCCAGGGTGGGGGAGGGTTGTGCATACAGGCCCTAGAAAGGGCATTTAGAGCTGCTCCTTGCAACCCTAGCTGAGAATGGGAAAGTCCCCATCCTGGCCATTCAGTGTCAAGTTGGCGTGGCCCTGTATCCCAGCCAACGAATGCTTTATGCACGGGACTGAAGGATTGCTGGGACGGGACGGGACGGGGACGGGGACGGGGGACGGGACAGTGGCACATGAGCCCTTGTACAAATGTCCCAGTGATGGGGCTGGGGGCAGTGGATCGGAGAGCACAGGGGTTGGTGGGGGAACTCTCGGTGTCCATCTCTTTCCTGCCGAGCCTGGCTCCCCAAAGCCAGGATGACCTGTGGATTTTGACCATGGCCCAGAGAGTGCAGCGGCCGGGTACCAGACGCGAGTCTTCTCTGCCACGGCTGGCACTGACCCTAACCTTGAAAGCAGCTTTGATGGGTAGGGGGGTGGGGGGTGGACTCCAGGTCTGAGGACCCCTCAGAGATATGCTTGTGTTCTCAAGGAAAGGCTCCCCAAGATACTGGGTTATTAGGGTCCCCAGAGGCCAAGGAGCTTTCGAGGGACTATTAGGAGCTAGTTACGTTCCTAGAGGGGCTGGTCATTGGGGCCAGTGCGTGCATAGTAAGTAGGTAAGGGGGTCTGGGCTGAGCGGACTTGTCCCCTCGACAGTCTTTTTCAAATCTTCATCAGTTTTAAGTGTGGCACGGGGGCGCCAGGAGAGCAAGGAGGCCACCTGCCTCAGACAGAGGTCCCACCTGCGCATCAAGGTCTAGGCTCTCCTACAAGCACGCTTCCCCCTACAGCAAACAGCAAGGACCGCTGGCCCCATTTCTCTCCCCGCTAAATCTTGCCCATCACTCTCCGCCCCTGCCGCCACTACCACTTCTCGATGATATGGCTCATGTAGTCCTCGGTGGGCACGCGGCCTGGCTCCTCTGTGTCCTCCCGGGGCAGCGCCTCCTTGGAGCGATGCAGGAGGCGCTCTTCGCGATTGCGCAGGCGCTGCTCCCTGCGCTCCAGCTGTCTCTTGTACTGGTATCGCTGCTGGAAGAGGTCCTTGGCATAGTCATACAGCTGCATGTCCAGGTCGTTGAGCTCCTCGATGTGCCGGATAGTGTCCTCGTCCACCTCCACACCGCCGGCCCGCGTGCTGTTGTACTGCATGAAGGGCCGGATGAACTTGAGGTTGAACGTCCGCTCAAACAGGTACTGCGTCTTGCGTTGGAACTCGGTGAGGCCGAAGAAGGCCATGCCGCGCAGGTTCTTCTTGGCACTCTCCAGCAGCAGCTGGGCCCGCTTGCTCTCGGGGATGAAGGACAGGTTGTAGCAGCCCACCAGGCTGAGGTCGGCCAGCATGCGCACCTGCCGGTTGTTGGCCAGGTTGTAAGGGCAATCCATGAACTCCTGCAGCGTGCAGCCTGACCAGTCCGTGCCCTCGTAGCAGGGCGGCAGCTCCTCCGGGGTTGGTGTGCGCCCATCACACATGTGCAGTGAGGTCTTCCACGTGGCTCCGCGCTGCACATGTCGCCACTCGCTCAGGTAGCGGGATACTGGGTCCCGCAGGAGGGTGATGTAGTAGAACTTCCTACAACGAGAAGGGGGGAAGAAAGAGATCGGTACTGTGAGAGGAAGAGGGGATAAAGGAGTGTCTGCTGTGGTGATTTTGGCCCTTCAGCATGGGCGCTTGGGCAAGCGACACCCGCCGATTCCAGTTGTAGCACAAACTCTGGGCTCTACCATCCATTTCTGAGCAGAAAACCCTACGGTCTGAGGGAGAGAACTTGCCAAGGGTATGCCTTCCAAGGCAGAATGGTGTCTAGTGCCTGGCCTCAGCCCCATCTTGCCCCGGTGTCCAGCAGCTGCCACCAGACATTGTGAAAGCCACAGAGTGAGTTCTGACAAAAAGAGGGCTGGCCCCTCACTATATGCAGAGACTGCGGAGCAAGACCCCACAGTAGCTCTTGGTCCTCCAAAGGCCGTGCCCTGGAGCTCCTGAGGGCTGACAAGACTCAGGCCATGTCCTGGAAGGCTCCCAGGATGGAGAGCAGCCTGGAGGCAGGGGCTGCACAGGCATAGGAAGGAGGGGACGGACGACTGTGTCTCTCAGTGGACCAGACGGTTGCTGTAGCCCTCAAAAGCTGGAACTGAACGAGGCCCATCTGGTCTGTGCCTGGGAACTATATACCTTGTTGCCATGTTGTGTGGTGGCCTCTGTCCCTTGCCAGTCTTCTGTGTCCTTGATGTCATATGCCCATCAGTACTCTAGGCGGTAGCTCTAGGGCCAGGCCGTGGCACATGGACAGGCCTGCCTTCTTACTGCACGAGTCCTGTGCAGCCAGACAGCCAGCAGCCCCCAGGTCTGTCTCCGCACACCAAGAATCTGCCACAGCCCGTGGCTCATGTCACCCCGACTTCAGAAGCAGGCCAGGCACCCTGGAAAGTCCCACCATCCCCTCTAGGGTCTGTGAAGTGCGAGACCTATCTGCATGGTCACTGGCTCATTGTGTGGATTGGTGTCAGAGGGCAGGGTTTCCTCACAGAGTATAATAACAATGTTATTAAATAAAAAATCCTGGAGTTAGAGAGATGGATCAGAGATTAAAAGCATTTGCTATTTTTCCAGAGGACCCAAGTTCAGTCCCCAGGACTCCAGTTAGGTGGCTTATGACTGCCAGTAACCCCAAATCTGGGAGTTCTGAGATCCTGCTCAGTCCCTCCCCCCCAGGTACACATACATACTGAGACACATGCATACACATAAATAACAAAATAAATCTTTAAGGAAATTCCCTGAAACTATCCTTAGTGATAGGTGTCTATGTTGAAATCATTATAAGTGACCTCACTGTAAAGAGACGTATACTTGGAAATTCAAGACAGAGGCTAGAGCTAGTGAGTTTTGGGTGGAGGCCCAGGGTATTTGCAGTGGCCTGAGGACACCACCCTTACACTTCAGGAAAAAGGAAAGGAAACAGGAAAGAGAGATGGCTCCATGGTTAAGAATACTTGCTGCTCTTGCAGAGAACACGATCAGTTCCCAACACCCATATCCTGGCTAACAACCCTCTGTAACCCCAGCTCCAGAGGCTCTGGTACCCTCTGGGTATCGGCGAGCACCCACACATAAATACAATCCTTATTAAAAAAGAAAACAGGACTTCGAGGCCAGTTAGGTCTACAGAGAGAGTTCCAGGACAGCCAGCTGTTATACAGAGAAACTCTGTCTTGAAAAAAGAAAAGAAAAAGAAGGAGAGAGAAAAAAAAGAGAAAGAAGGAAAAAAACCAGGCTGGAGTAGAGAGATGGCTCAGTGGTTATGAGCATATATTGTTCTTCCAGGGGACTTGAATTCAGTTCCCAGCACCCTACATCAGGTGGCTCACAAACTGCCTCCAACACACACACACATGCACATGCACACACATCACTTGCTCTCTTGAAAGGAACCACATATCCTACTGAGTTCTGGCTTCTGGATGATGGTTGGCTTTGTCACAGAGAGCGTTGGGGACGTACCCAGAAGCAGCTCTGCTCTCAGGGACTCCCTGACAAATGGTGCTCTCCCAGGGTGCTGGCTACTTGGGCTGCTGTGAGTACAGTGTAAACCACAGTCCTAGCCTATAAGGTGTCCATGGTACACTGACCTCAAGGGCACATCCCTGGATACGTACTCTACACAGTGACAAGTCTAGGGCTCAGCAGAATGGGGCATGTGGTGGTCACCCAAATGATGGGGACATAGGAGACCTTCCTATACTTGTGGCTGCAACCATGAAGCCACAGCCAGGCCCCCAGGTGGTAACTGGCGGCCATAATGTGCCATGGAGCCCTCTTGGGGACAACATGTCTGCAATTAAGGGCTGCAAATTAATGTCTCCAGGCCATGTCCTGATTCTTATCACCTTGTAATTCTGGGAAAGTTGGTCTGTTCCCACCAGTCTAGGTCATTCTGACACTGCCCAGGGCCACGGGGTAGGGGTGGGGGGTGAGGGGCAAGAAGAGATACTACTTTCTTTGTGAGCCTGCCCACACCATGCTTGGGTGGGCCATCACTGCAGAGTGTGTTCAGTGCCACATCAACCAGAGGGGTGGCAAACCCAGGCCAACGGTAGGGGAGCTGAGGGTGGCCTAGGGTTGGGCTCCCACCTCACCAAGTCCAACCCCCACACAGCCAGCTTCCGGGTGCCACCAGGGATTTGGTGGGGGTGACTGCTGGGGGGACTGAAGGGGAAAAGGGAAATAGTAAGCTTTAACATTAAAGTATGACTGGCAAGCTTACTTAGGAAATATTAGGGGATACCCTAGTAGGCACAGAAGAGGAACCCCGCCTCTGAGCTGAGGCAACAGAGCTAACTAACCCTGCTGACTTCTGCATGTGTGAACCTGCCTGCCCCCTCCTCTTTTCTGAAAGCGGTATCCTCTCTCTTGAACAGTGACCTCTACCCCGTACCTGCTTGCACAGCAAATTCTAACTAGAAACCTGCAAATCTCAGCTTCAGTAAAACTCCCTTAGCTCTGGGAAAAATCACCTCCAGAAAAGTCATGAAGGAGACCACCCTCAAATGGTCATTTAGACAAGATTATGATGATGTCTATCTCTGTACAGACCACACAATACTTCTGACCGATGCTGGATCTTTTTAAGCAACAGCTGGAGGCTACAGGTGAGTGCTAATTAGTTCTTGCCCTTATCTCCAAGGACAGAATTTCTCTCTGAGGATGGGTGAGTTCCTTTAAACAGGATCTGGGGTCACTGTGTGAAGGCTACCCCCAAACCTCTACAGAAATGGACCTGATGGACATGAAGGGGCAGTCCCTGACCTGACAGCAGCCACGTTGACACCTGTCAATGACTCAGGAGGAACACTGGTTCCTAACTAGTACTGAGTTCTCTAGCCTGGGCAGGTAGATCCAATGATACGGAAGTGCCAGTCCTGATGGGCGGTGTCAGTCCGTAGGCCTCGGGCAGCTGTCCCAAACAGGGCAGGGCAGAGAGGCTTCTTTTTTTTTTTTTTTTTTTTTTTGGTTTTTCGAGACAGGGTTTCTCTGTATTGTTTTGGAGGCTGTCCTGGAACTCGCTCTGTAGACCAGGCTGGCCTCCAACTCACAGAGATCCGCCTGCCTCTGCCTCCCGAGTGTGGGATTAAAGGCGTACGCCACCAACGCCCAGCCAGAGAGGCTTCTTAGAAGACTGTGGACAAATGGTTTTCACGTCAGAAGGGCCTATGTTGATGACCAGAGACCAAGGCAAGGCCAGATCACAGAGTGTCTTTCTAGGTTATAGAAGAACCAAGAGTACTTGCCATGCAATCACGAGAATTAAGTCTGAGTCCCTAGTACCTACATTAAAAGCCAGGCATGGCAGCATACATCTATAGTCCCAGCACTGGGGCTACAGGGGAATGGGAGAGAGACAGGTGGATCCTAGGGCTTGTGAGGCAGCTGGTCTAGCTGAAAGAATGAGCGGCCCTATCTCAAAATGTGAGCTGGAGTGTCATAGAAGAAGGCATTCAGCTGTCAAACTCTGGCCTCCACATGTACCCACACAGCAGAGAACACCTGTGCACCTACACACACCATGGCCTGGTTGGGGGTAGTGGAGAGGGATCAAGGGAGAGGTAAGGGAAGAGAGGTTGAGATGTGGCTCGGTGGATAAACTCCTTGCCAGTTGAGGATCATGGATCACCAAAATCCACACACAACAAAAGTCATGGGCCAGGCCACCTGTTACCCAGCACTTGAGAGATGGATGCAAGAGATTCCCGAGGTAGGCTGGCCAGCTAAATCAGCTAATCTGTGAGCTCAGGGTTCAACTGACTTTGTCTTAACAGATGAAGGAGAGAGAGAGAGATCAATGAAGATACCTGATGCCAACTTGAGGCTTCCACATACATGTGCACACCAGCAAGCAAGCACACATGCACACACGAATGCATGCACACTTGAGCACACACAGAGACAAGTTGCACACACAAAAAACCAAACAAGGCTCCCTTTGCCTGAATCTTCGAAGAAAATAACCCAAAGTTCAAAGCCAGCCTCAGTTACCTGGCAAGTTTGAGGCCAGCCAGGGTTTAGATAACACCGACTTCCATGGTTAGAGTGTGTGATACTTCCTATTGCCCTTGTGGGGACAGAGCAAACCAGGATCTGACCCCAAATTAATTCAGGTGACTCTCACAATACTTATAAACGATTGGGAACTGGTCTCAGAATCAGTGGGCTGGCCCTCTGCTGAAAACCATGAGGAATAAAAACCCCAACATGTCCTAAATCTAATTACAAGAGCCAGATGAGGCTGGGAGAAGTCAGAAAAGGGGGAAGTGTATTGGGTAACAGCTTAGGCAAAACCCACTATTTTTACATTCCTGAACAAGTATGTAAATCTGGACTCAGATCTCAATGTGGAGATGACAGGCACTTGGCCATCAGGCCTTATTTACATAGAAATCCCAGATCTACGAACCTAGCAATCCAGTAGCAGGAAGCAACAAGCTCTTCTTTTTATGGAGAGCCCCCCATCCTGTAACTCCTCTAATCAGCACAATCCTACTTCTCATCTATAGACAGGGTAGGTTCCTTGTTGA